TGATATTTGAACCAATTTATCTTGGTCTCGGTGATGATTTTGGAGAACGAAGTTGAAGTGTTGGGTCTTAGTCCTTGTTGGAATGTTGTTAATTCCTACAAGAGTGACTTGTGCTTTGTTGGCTGTGGTTCAATTTGTTGGTTAGTTTGCCTCCTATGACAGTATAGCTTTACATAGAACTCATAAGATGCCCTTCAACATCCGGGAGATTGGTGACAGAACAATTTATATAGAATGAAGATTTGATTGTTCAAATTCTGACACTTTGGAAAATTAAGGATTCTGACATAATTGGCCAACAATGTGTTCTTACAGAATTAGCCGTACTTCAGACTTGAAGTTCTTTCACTGAGAAGTGCAAGGACTCCTTAAGAATCTGAAAATCCAATCACTTAAAGAAAGTTCTCATCACCCAGTTTTATCTCTTCCTTTCTCTGAGTGTACACCCATTTGTGTAGGCACATGAAGAAATCACCCAGTCTGTGAGCCTCAATCAAGAGCAAGAACTGGTCTAAGGGCTCCCCTCCCTGTAAGGGTGACACTGAAGGGACAACCCTCAACTCTCCTGGTCTCGGGCAGCCCAGCGTTTATCCTGACCACACATTCTGAGGTCACGAAGCCAAAAGTCTTTGTTCACGTACTGATGATTTTGAGTCCTGGCCACATCATAGAGCAGAGATTCTTGACTTTTTAAAAAATCATTATTATTTATAAAAACACGGCTTATAAAATGCATAGTTAGTGTCCTAGAAGATGCTATACTATCTTTGCAAATTTCCATCATGAGCTCTGGTAGCGTAGTGGTTACGAATCGGGCTGCGAACCTTAGGGTCAGCGGTTCGAAACTACCAGCCGCTCCACGGGAGAAAGATGAGGCTTTCTACTGCCGTAAAGATTTACACCCTCGGAAACCCTGTACAGGGTCGCTATGTTTCGGACCCGACTCGATGGCACTTAACAACAACAACAACAACATGAAATAAAATACCTCCTCCTCCTTGGAAACTTCAAAGACAAGCAGTGGTCTTGTTTCTAACTCATTCATCTTTCTCTGCTGAATCGTCACCACTATTTCCTGATGTTACATTTTCCCTTGTTCTCTTTTTCCCATACGGTTTTCTTCGATTTTGAACTTTCTCGCTCCATCGAGTATTTGGAATAATCTTAACTTTCCCACTATTACAAATAATGCTACTGTCTACTTATTTACAAAAACATTTATTTATAAAAACTGTGTTCTACCCCAATTTATCAGGGTAGATTAACAGCCTCAGAAACCATATTCAGGATAACTGTGAGTCCAAACTGACTTGACAGAGCACAGCCACCGCCCCCCACCAGCACTCCAGTTCATACGCAAATGGATGGTTCCATCTACAGCTTTTGTTAGGTAGCTTGAGACTTCCTAATGCAGGGAACAGGTTTATAGTAGAGTTAGCAAGTTGCTAGTTGTTAGTGTATCAATGTCAATGTCTCCATAGCTGGCCCTGCACCATGATGATTGTATTTTTGCTCCTTTAGTAGATCTAAGAGTTAAAGCTTTAATTTTCCATTGCTAGAGAGCCTGGGTGTTACTACGTGTATTCTGTGTATAAAATGGGCTTTTCTCCTTTGAGGACTGGTTAAATACAATATGCATCTTAACGCCTCAGTTTTGTTACTGTCTTGTGTGATCTTATGTACTCAGTGCATCACTCGTGTAGGTATACATTTCCCACTCTTTTCCTCCCAGAACTTGGATGATGAGCTTCTGTTTCCTTTCAGTGTGTTTTGTCTTTTATATTTAATGGGATGAGAAGTCAGCCCACACTGTGTTCTAGATTTCTAGCATTTAGTAAACAGTGCTTCTTTCCCCATTGTTATGTTCTTTCTGCTTACAAGCTTTGTAATAGTTTACATTTATTTTTAGAACCATAAATGTGTTACATTAATTGATTCGTTGTCTTTTTTTTTTCTCCTAACCTTATAAATTTGGTTCATTGTTGCTTAAAAGTATTTTAAAATCTGATCAGTTGAGCTTACGTTTACATATATGTGTATTTGGTATTCTTGCCTAGTTAGTCTCTTAAGATGAATTCCAATCTCAATTTGTCAAGTTTGAAAAACTTGTCGACAGGAATTTAAAATCAATATTATATGAAGTCCATGTATTTTCTCAGGAAGTATTACCTGCTCTGGTAGCGTAGTGGTTACGAGTTGGGCTGCCAACTTCAAGGTCAGCAGTTCAAAACTACCAGCAGTTACGTGGGAGAAAGATGAGGCTTTCTGCTCCTGTAAAGATTTATAGCCTTGGAAACCCTGTGCAGGGTCACTATGAGTCGGAACCGACTCCACAGCACTTAACAACATTATTTCATTCTCTCAGGCAGGAGTTAGCTATTTCTTTCCAGTATTCGTATCTTCTTTTGTCCATTCTATTAGGAACTTACATGAATACGTTTTTAAGAAATGAATCTTTAAGGTCTTGAGCTAAATTACTTTACAAATTTAGAGTATTTTGTCATTTTTTAAAAGTGTCTTTCTCTTTCCTGGAGGTTTCCACTTGGATGAACCGAATAGCTAAGATTGCTATTGACGTTTTCGCCTTGATAACCTTCAGCATTTTGAAATTCATTTATTATTCCTGCTGTTTTGTTCTTGCGGATTTCCTCGAATTATAATCCTGCTGCCCACAGAGGTGCTGTCTCCTCACATTTATTAACCCGATCATTTTCTCCTCAGTACTGGCCGCCAGCCTTTGTAGCCCTGGGTATGGAAGGAGCAAATCTGGTGCCTTTTGATGTTAACATTTTAAGAGAATCGACTTGTGTGTTAACACATATAATGTTGGTGCTTTGTGATTTTTAAAGTGAATTCCTTTCAAGTAATACATTATCTTTATCATGCATAACCAACTTTTAACATCAAACAATTGATTTAAGTTTAAAAAAAAAAAAAGGCAGTAAACATTCAGGTCAGTTTTTCTAAATTTCATCCACTTCTAAAGAATCCTCATCTACTCACAGTTTTTTCTCCTGGAAACACTTTTCAGTGTCAGGGCAGAGTCTGACCATAGCCATGTTACCTCCCCCTAAAAAGACCTTAAGTGTATTTTGTGGTAGCCCTTAATGTTCATTACTGTTACTTCACAACACGATACATTGAGTTTGCGGTGGTCTTCTTTTACCAGGAATGGCGCTGGTTTCTAGAAATTCAAAATAGTCTTGCAGCAGCGCTCAAAGGCCACAGGTTTCAGTCTAAGTCCAGCTCCTCCTTTCCTGCCGAGGTCATTTTTCCTTTAACATGGGCAGAGTTGCAGTTCTTGCTGGGGAGTGAAAGGCACCTTCTCACCCCATGAATGTGTGCTTGTTTGTTTCACTTAGGCATTTTACTTTTTTTTTTTTGACTTCCACTTTGTTTTAACTTTTTATTTTGAAATGATTATAGATACCCTTAAGGGGCTGCTGTGTCCAAAATCGACTTGACACACTCACCACAGTTCTTCAGTTAAAATAATGCCGTTTCCCGTAGTTCCCACCTGTGGTAGGACCTGAGAGCCTGCTCCTATTGACCCTGGCAGGACAGCTCTGGGTTGAGGCCACTGTGATTAGGCAATGAGATGTCCTGTCCTTGTTTTGCCCTGGTCTTTTTTGACCTGAACAAGGCACTTAATCCATCACATCAGGCCTTCTTTGCATTTTATGTAATTGGCTAGTTTACAGCATAGCAGCCACCTGCTTAGGATGATCTATGATGGTGGTTTTTTGGTTTGTTTTTTTAATCTTATCACTAGAAATACTAGATAGTTGCCGATAATCATTCTCAGATGTTCTATGGCAGATATTCAAAGATCAAGTTGATAAAGATACTGATAATAAAAGGCAATAATAAACTTTTTTTTTTAAAAAAAAGTATTCCACTTACTTCAGAAGCCTTGTTGAGGACTGCCTCTAGTTGGTTGGTCCCAGCCTGAGTGAGGTGCCCTATTTTTTTTTTCCCCTTCCTTATTTTACCATATATGGAACAAATGGAGAAATTTGAACATGGAAATGTTGGTCAGGCTAATTTCTAAGATATTAAAAAGTGTTTTGAAGTGGATTAATTTAGAGCTGAGGCAAAAAATATATCAGTCATGTGGGAAAATGCAAAGGCGTGTCACGCTGTTTCCTACTCTTAGAGATAAATGCATATAGAAATCTGACCTATCTGCATATTTTAATGGAAAAGAACAGCCTTCTCAGAAAGGAGATTGGCAACGGGCTAAAATCAAGCTGTTCATTATCATTAATGGTAATTCTCACACAGTTGTGAAGGAGAGCTTGTTATGCATGAATCTGTTCCTTGTAATTGTGATAATTTTCACCGGAAATCTTTTTTTAAATCTCTAAAATATAATTGGGGTGAGGAGCACTGCCAGTTTTTGTATTAAATTGTTTCAGTAGCTAGTGGGTGAATATTCGGCAGCATGAATTGGAGTTTTATGAAGAAAGTACATCTGTGCTGGATCTTTTGTGGACAAGCAGAAAAGATTCTGGCCTAGAAGGGTTTTTGAAATGACCTAAAAGAAAAATATTCTGGGGGCTATGCATGTTGCCCTTCCAGGATAGCCGCTGTGTTCTCTTCCCTCCCCTTCTAAATCAGAGGCCATCACAGTGCAGCAGAAATTCGGCCTGCCTTGCAACTTCCCCAGATGATTACCGCCTTAGTTTACTTGCTAGACTAGAATCCACTGATTTGTTCATGTGGTTTTGTGCTGCACAGGTTTTGGAATCAGCCATTCCCTGCCAAGAGTATTTAAAAATTGAGTACCCTAAAAATGTACTCGTAGCCAACTTAAGAAAACGAATTGTCAAGATGTTTAATACAGAAAATGGACGTGCTCCATCCCTGAGAGATCACACAAGTAATTCGTACTCACAGAGGTTTTTTTCTCTCCTTCCCTTACTTTATCTGTTCACATTGCTGATTCTCTCACACCCGATGACTTCTCCCAAATGCCCATCCTTGGTATTCCTTCGAAGCTTTGTGCACCGTGGGCGGCCTGAGCCTCTGGATCTTCACTTGGGCATGTTCCTGCCCACCTTGCTTCACCAGGCAACCGCAGAGCAGCAGGAGCGTTTCTTCATGCCTGCCTGGAACTTGGAGATCGTTGGCACTTATGCCCAGACAGAGATGGGTCATGGTATGGTGCATTCAGTCTACCTTCTGGGTGGGCCGGGACCCCTACGAGCGGTGTCTACGATGGCACCTTTCTGCCAAATCCAGGTAGTTCAGCCATACAAGTCTGGACCTAGACAGAGCTCTGAGCAGTGGAAACGAAAGGTTACGTGATCACAGACATGTGCAGACTTCTTATCTCAAGGTTCCTGTTCTGAAAGCCAAGTGTCACAGGTCATGCCTTACCTGCCAGGTGGCTTTTCAAAAGCCTTCTTGGTGGCACAGTGGTTAAGCTCAGCTGCTTACCAAAAAGTTGGCAATTTGAACCCACCAGCCACTCTGTTGGGGGATGGCAGAGCAGTCTATATTTGTAATGAGGACAGCCTTGGAAACCCTAAGGGGCATCTGTTTATAGGGTCTCTCTGAGTGGGAATGGGCGCCATGACAACTGACTTGGTTGGGGTTTTGAAGTTGTATGGAGTCAGTGTGAATATCTAATCTGAACCTACCTTTTTACCTTTCTTCCCTTCTGAGTATCTTTCCTATTGATAACCTTTGTGAGCTTTACAAATCCCCAAAGAAACACAGATGGAGGGTGTGTTTAAAGGAAATGATTCATTTATACTGCTACATTGTGTCAGATTTTGTACCCGGGAGTTACTTGTTCCTTGAATTTAGTACCTTAGGTAAGGGGCTTGATCAGAGTTTAGGGAACATTAGATAAGCTGTATTTATAGGCAGTTGATTCCAAACTCTTTACCTCCCACCTTTTTCTCTCCATTGTTCTCCTACCTTTCTTTATGATGAGACTGGGTGTGTTTTCTCCTGTTAACTGCTTTGGATTGGTATCGGTATCGTAGTTCTTTGGCTTCTGGCTTCTCTCGTTCTACTCAGGTTTCAGAAAAACCTTTTTAGTGCGTTCTTGCCACTTATTTCTTATTTCTGTACAATTGCATTTTCTTACTGAAATCCCCTTGGACTGTAGACTTGGGTGCTTGATACTCCACAGAAGTTTGATTCCATTGTGTATTTAAAAGCATTTTGTCATTATATGTTCTAGTTAGTAGGTTACTTGCCCCTACCCACCCACCCACCAAACCTTCTACTTTGGTGAAAATATCTGCTTATTTGACCCCCACTGGGGGAAAATTATGGGTCACATGTAAGCTGGCCGGATCTGTCGTTCAACTTGGAAGTTTCTAAATGTGCCAGACTTTTAAGGCTCTGTCATCATCAGAAGTTAAACAGTAAAAAGGTTCTCGTGTTTGCTTGAATTCATTATTGCTAGGAGGTGCCTCTTAGAAAGTATTTCTGCAACTCTTTTCAAAGACTTGAGCCATATTTATTTTAGGATTTAAAACCCAAATCCCGTCTATCTTTAATCAACATAGAAAGCGTACTGGTGAACTAGCTAGGACAAAGCTAAGGCCCAGCATTGGAAACCTACAGGGGAATCAAACTTTATGATTGGGCCTTTAGCATCCCAAAGAGTCACTGTATTCCAGGTGTCTTGCTCTGTGGTGGTTACACCATGTTAAGCTCTTATTTTCCATTCTAGCAGTTATTCTGAGATAAATACTCGATTTACAAGAATTTTAGATGGAGTCTCTTCTCAAGATAGTTACCCAGTTGTTCACTGTTGTACAGAATTCTAGAGTACGAAGTTGGTGTTGTTTAAACTCAGGTCCTGTGAGTTGAAGATGGCATACTTGCAGCTTCCAAATGAATATAAAAGGGCAGTGACCTTCTCTGTTAAGTTCATGTGCCGAGATCTTAAGACAATGAGATTCTAAGCTACTTTTAGATTTTCTTTTAGTTGAACTAGGTAAATATTTCCTACTTTTTAATATTTTCAACTTAATGGGAAGGTCTGATTTATGTATAGGGAATTAAATAGCTTTGCTATCAACCTTTCGTATCTTACCTACAAATCTTCTTGTCTTTGTTAGATTATGTTCCCTTTGAGATTCTAGAGCTTAAAGAACCGGGCAAGACTTTTACCTTATGTCATTGTTTCTCCATATTCTACCCAGAATTAATTTAATCTATTTCTTAGGGACTCATCTTCGAGGTTTGGAAACCACGGCCACGTATGACCCCAAAACTCAGGAGTTCATCCTCAACAGTCCTACCGTGACCTCTATCAAGTGGTGGCCTGGGGGACGTAAGTGGAATTTGTGGCATTTACTGGATGGCGTGCAGTTGGAGTGGTTCTGCTGAGGTCTGTGGGGCCACTGTGATCCGGCAGTGACTCAGTGGCAGTGGGTGAGATGAGTAAGAATTGATGCAACGGAACACAACAGCAACAACAAAGACACGAAGCTTTAGTATAAGGCTGTGTTTAGGATATGGAAGGAACTTTTCTGAAACTATCGTTTTGGAATATAGAAAACACCCTAATCTTAAATTCTTCTAAACTATTCCAGATGCTCTTGGGTCAGCTTATATACTTACGCACATTTTACAGCGCACAGAGTCGACATCTGTCTTATCCAGCTTTTCTTAGCTTCTCAGCTAAACGCCCCGTTCCTTCAGAAGATGACTATGCTTTACATGTTCATCATTTAGGAGTCCTGGTGTAGCACTGTGGGTTAATGCGCTGGACTGCAAAGTCGGTTTGAACCGCAAGACTGGTGGTTCAAGTTCACCATTCGCTCCTTGGAAACCCTATAAAGGGTCACTGTGGGTTGGAACCGACTTGACAGCAACTTAAGAACAGTAACAACATCCATCATTTAAACTTAGTATTTTGGATAGTCATTTACAGATGGTCAAGCATTTGAATTGTTTGCAAATTTCTCTTGCAGTTTTGGTGCGAAACTTTCATAAGGGGAAGTCCAGAAGTATTGCAACTAGGTTTCCACTTCATACATTCACAGTTAAATTCCAAACAAAATGTGTTTCAACATGTCTTGGCAATCTGTGGCTGGCTGCAGACAAGTTCAGTGATATACTTGTCTTATTCTCATTAGAATGTCTTCCAACAAAAGGTCCAGTCAAAATAGTGGTTTCTAAGGAGTCCTGGTGTGGATAAACACTGAACCGCAAGGTCTGTAGTTCAAACCCAACCAGCTGCTCCTTGGAAACCAGGTCGCTATGAGTCAGAACCAACTTGGCACTTAACACCACGACCAACAAGGAGATCTACTGGGCCAGTTAAATTCAAGGCAGAAAGGTTGGTTCAGAATGTTATAGCACCTGTTTCTCCAGGAAGGATAGATCTATGCTCCCAATGAAAGAGCTCCAAAATATATAAAGCAAACTCTCATAGATTTGAAGAAAGAAATAGACAAATCTTCACTAATATTGGGAGATTTTAATATACCACTTTCAAAAATGGATAGAACAACCAGAAAGAAACTTGACAAAGACACAGAAGAACTAAACAACACAGTCAGCCAACTGGACCTCATAGATGTGTATAGAGCATTCAACCCAACAACAGCACAATACACATTCTTTTCCAGTGCACATGGAAATTCTCCAGAATAGACCATATCTTAGGCCCCAAAACAAATCTCCATAAATTTACAAATATCAAAATACTACAAAGCATCTTCTCAGACCACAATGCTATCAAATTAGAAATCAACAATAGGAAGACCAAGGAAATCAAGTCAAATACATGGAAACTGAATAACACCCTGCTGAGAAGCAGCTGGGTAGTAGAAGAAATTAAACTTTAACTTACAAAGTTCCTATAAACAAATGAGAATGAAAACACAAAATCTTAGGGACACGGCAAAGGCAGTGCTGAGAGGACAATTTATTGCAATAAATGCACACATCCAAAATGAAGAAAAAACAAAATTAACACATTAATACAGCATCTACAACAATTAGAAACAGACCAACAGAGGGAACCTACAGCCACCAAAAGAAAAGGAATACTAAAGATTAGAGCAGAAATAAATGGGATAGAAAACAGAAAAACTATAGCAAGAATCAGCAGGACAAGGAGCTGGTTCTTTGAAAGGATTAACAAAATTGACAGACCATTGGCAAACCTAACAAAAGAAAAGAGGGAGAAGACACAAGTAACACGTATTAGAAACCACGTGGGCGATATCACAAAGGAAGTCAAAAGGATAATAACAGAATACTATGAAAAGTTGTACTCCAACAAATTTGAAAACTTAGAAGAGATGGATACATTTTTAGAAAAACACAACCTACCTAAACTTACACAGAGTGAAGTAGAAAACCTGAACAGACCCATAACAAAAGAAGAAATTGATCAGGTCAGAACCACATGATTATATCGATTAATGCAGCAAAGGCATTTGACAAAATCCAGCATCCATTCCTGATAAACACACTCAACAAAGCAGGAATTGAAGGGAAATTCCTCAACATAATCAAGAGCATATATACAAAACCAACAGCCTACATTATTCTCAGTGGAGAGAAACTGAAAGCCTTCCCTCTGCGAACAGGAACCAGACAAAGATGCCGTTTGTCACCACTCCTATTCAATATTGTGCTGGAAGTCTTAGCAAGAGCTATATGGCAAGGCATCCAAATTGGCAACGAGGAAGTAAAACTCTATTTGCAGACGATATGATCCTATACATAGAAAACCCCAAAGACTCAGTAAAAAAGCTACTAGACCTCATTGGAAGGTTCAGCAAAGTGGCAGGATATAAGAACGACATACAAAAATCAGTTGGATTCCTCTATACTAAAAACGACAGCGCTGAAAAGGACATTAGGAAAGCAAAATGATTACATTGCCACTCAAAGGATGAAATATCTGTGAATAAATGTAACCAGAGAAACAAAGGACTTATACAAAGAAAACTACAAAACACTGCTACAAGAAACCAAAAGAGTCCTACAAAAATGGAAGAATGTACCATACTCCTGGATAGGAAGACTTAGCATTGTGAAAATGTCGATACTGCCCAAAGCAATTTCCACATATAATGCAATCCTAATCCAGGTTCCAACAACATTCTTCAAAAAGAAAAAACAATTACAAACTTTATATGGAAAGGAAAGAGACCCAGGATAAGCAAAGTACTGCTTAAGAAGAAGAATAAGGTTGGAAACCTCTCACTCCCTGACTTCAAAATTTATTACACGGCTGCAGTGGTCAAAACAGCCTGGTACTGGTACAATGAGTGATACATTGATAAATGGAACAGAATCAAGAATCCAGAAATTAACCCATCCACATACAGTCAACTGATTTTTGACAAAGTACCTAAATATATCACAAAATGGGGGGTGTGGGGGCTACAAAGGCAAGAAGTGACTGGCTTACAAGCTTTCAAGAGGGAGCCTAGTTCCAGAGGGCATGGAGGAAGGTAGAATCTCCACTGAGTATTATCCAGTCTGTCTGGGGGCGCTAATGAAAGGAGATGGGGGTAGGTCCCTTGTGGTACAATAGTGAATAATTGTTACCAGGACTGACTTTGAGGGTTGGGAATGTAAAGGTAGACGTTTTGTAGCAAAAGGAGGGGAGTGACTGACTTTGCAGTCTAGGAGTGGAGGTCCCTACGACTATCAAGGGAGAAGAGCGGAGTATGGGACCCTACCCAGAGAAGCAGTGAGCCAGAGATGGAGGCAGAGACGATGACGTGGAGAGATGGAGCAGCTGGGGACTTTAGACCCAGAGAGGGAGAGGGGCTGTGTGCTGATGACCGGGGGGCAGGCTTGCAGAGTATATCCTTTGGTTGGTGATGATGCATGGAGGGGATTGAAACCATGGCAGTGAAACGATATACGATAGGATGAATGTAAAACTAATGTTCTCCCATGTAAACTATCCTATAATTCACAATAAAACATTAAAAACATAAAGGAGAATGTTATAGCAACTGTTTCTTGGGATTCTCAAGGGGGTAATAATGATAGACTTCCTCAAAGGACACAGGACAATCATGGGGGCTTATTAGGAAAGCAATTTTAAGAAAGTAAAAAACTGCGTTGGTGAGATAAAGGCCAGGAAAATTGTACCGAGGACTTTTTTCTATCATGACAGTGTTTACCTGCTCAGTCTTCGAAAGGAGCAAAAACTGTCCTAGGAGAATTTTCGTGGGATTTCTCATCCCAAGAAATCCATTTTACAGCCCTGATCTTGCCTCTTTAGACTTATATTTGTTCTAAAAACTCAAAGTACATTTAAAAGGAGAATGATTTGAGTCCATCGAGAATGCCCAAACTGCCTTTTTAACATGGTATAAGCCAAAGAGTGTATAATTCTTCAGAGGAAGCTTAGAGAGATGGAAACACTGCCTTCAGAAAGGCATAGACTTGATATAGAGGATATGTTACAAAACAATTAGCTTCAAAAAAAAAAGATGTGTACCCAGGTTGTAGCCTCTCATCATACTTATTCACACTGTATACTGAAAAGTACCATGGGCTGCCAAAAGAACAAATCAGTCTGTGTTGGAAGAAGTACAGCCAGAATGCTCTCTGGAAGGCAGGATGGCCAGACTTTGTCTCTCATACTTAGGACATATTGTCAGCAGAGACCAGTCTCTGGAGAAAGACATCACGTTTGATAAAGTGGAGGGTAGGAGAAAAAGAGGAAGATGATTGGCACAGTGGCAGCAGCGATGGATGAGCTCAAATGTAACAACAATTGTGAGTTTGGCCCAGGACCAGGCCGTGTTTTGTTCTGTTGTGCATAGGGTCGCTATGAGTTGGTACCGACTCAATGGCACCTAACAACACCATGCTAAACAAATAATCCGAGAAACTGGATTATATAAAGAAGAACATGGCATCAGGATTGGAACAAGACTCGTTAATAAACTGTGATATGCAGATGATGCAACCTTGCTTGCTAAAAACGGAGAAGACTTTAAATACTGATGAAGATAAAAGACTACAGCAGGTGTTCAAGAGCAAAGAATAGTTTAAGGACTAAGGTGTGCCTGACCCAAACCATAGTATTTTCAGTAGCCTCATAAGCATGTGAAAGTTGGGCAGTGAATAAGGAACATGAAAGAACAATTGATGCGTTTGTGTTTTGGTGTTGGGGAAGAATATTGAAGGTATCATGGACTGCCAGAAGAACAAATCTGTGTTGGAAGAAGTACAGCTAGTACTTAATTAAAAAATGGGCACAGGACATGAACAGACACTTCACCAAGGAAAACATTCAGACAGCCAACAAATATATGAAGAAATGTTTACAGTCTTTAGCCAATCAAAACAACAATGTTAGATAATCTCATATTAGTAAAAATGGCAAAGTTCAAAAAACCAGGAAACAATAAATATGGTGAGAATGTGGAGAAACTGGGACCCTCCCTCCTACATTGCTGGTTCAACCAATCTGGAAAATGGTGTGATGCTTCTTCAGAAATTTGGAAATAGAAATATCTTATGACCCAGCAATCCCTGTACTTGGTATATATCCACAAGAAATGCGAGCCAGGACACAGTAGATACATGCACTCCAGTGTTCATCACAGCACTAGTCACAAGAGTAAAAGTGCCCATCAATGGAAGAATGGATAAATTTGGTACGTACACACAATAGAATGCTATGCAACCTTGAAGAATAATGCTCAATCTGCAAAATACCTCATAACATGGATAAACCTGGAGGATGTTATGCTGAGTCCTAAAGAAAAGATTTCCATTCTAAAACATTCTTGGATGGTTACCAGGGAAGGGAGGGAAGGGAAAATAATTCACTGACTAGAGTGTAGACACATGTTAGTTCAGGTGTCGGGAGTGCTGTCTACAAGAAGAGAGAGGGCAGCAGAAGAACAATGAAGATAGGTGAAGACAAGGAGGTATGCATGGGCTAAAGGGGATGGAGGTAAATAGTGACATATATACAACCTTGGAACAATGGTGTTCTGTGCATAGATCTGTGAATTGAGACGTAGGTTGAATAGGTAAGGGAGGAAGAATGTGATACATGTATCATATATCCCACAAATAAATAAGAGTTTGAAAGAGGATGTTTGCACATGAGTATTAACCTTTCATGCAAACACAACTATGAATGTTGTGGAACATACAATGGGCAAAATGGTGAAAACTTCCTAGATGTTGCCAAACACCTTAAGGCAAGGAGTGGATGGTACTGGGGCCTCAGGATTATAGTCTCAGGCGATACCATGGTCAGTTGGCATAGCATAGCCCACAAAAACAACGTTCTACATTTTGTTTTGGTCAGCAGTGTCTAGGGTCTTGAAAACTCAATCGTGGCCATCTAAGGTGCAGCTGTTGTTGGTGTCTCCATGTGCGAAGAAAGAAGAATGATGTGAATTGAAGAGACTTGGAATTGATTAATCCAGCGGACCAATGGAACATGTGAATGTCACTCTCTACAGCTCTGAGACCAGAAGAACTAGATGGTGCCCGACTACAGGTCAGATAGGGATCACATTAGAAGGTCTCAGAGTGGGAGAAAGTGTGGACTAAAACTCTAAATTACTTTAAAAAAACAAAAAATAAACAGGATTACTGGTCAGAAAGAAATGGAAGGAACCTGAAACTATGGCCCTCAATCACCCTTCACTTCTGGAAAGGAACTCACCCTTGTGGCCCAATTTTTAACCAAGCAGTAGATAAGTTTATGGGGGAGCGACAACAGTAGCAAAGTGTGCTCACCATAGAATGGCCAGTCATTCAAAATCAAAAGGGCAACAAATGCCTAAGGACAAAGTTGAGAAGGGCTGGGAAGGTGGGTGGAATGAAACTAGGAACCACTGAGAGGATGCAGGATAACGTTACATGGAGGGGACTGTAATCATTGAGATGAAACAAAGGGTGTGATTTGTTAAATGCAAAGCTGCCGATCTTTTCTGTGAACCTTCACTCAATTCATAATAAAAGTTTTTTTTAAAAGGAGTACAACCAGAGTGGTACATTAGAAGCTACTGGATGGTGATACTTCATCTGTCATACTTCAGACATGTAATTAGAAAAGACCCATCTCTACAGAAGGACATCATGGAGGGTCAGTGAAAGATGGATTGGCACAATGGCAGCAGCAGTGGACTCAAGTGGAACAGTTATGAGGATGGCCCAGGACTGGGCACTGTTGTGCGTAGTAGGGTTGTTACAAGTTGGAACTGACTCAACAGCAGCTAACAACAACAACATAATTTTTAGCAAGACTTTTACTTACCCTTGTATTTAAATGGCTTCTTCCATTTTGACTTGCTGTCTTGGGCCATATATTTCAGATAAAGTCTGTGGTTGAGAGATTTTGCTGCTCACCATTATGTGTTTCAAGATGTGTGGTGTCACATTTAAGGAACCTTGGTGGCACTACAGGATAAGCACTGGACATTACATTTCCTGATTAAAGTAAGAAAAACTAGCATGCAAGAAAGATAAATATTACTGCATATACCAAGTGAAATCTTCCTAAGCTAGCCCTAGCCTCTAGAACTTTCTGCAGGGACGGAAATGTCCTCAGTCTTTGCTGTGTAGTATGGCAGGCAGTAGCCACATTGTAGCTATTGAGCCTTGCACTGTGGCCAGTTGGTTGGGGAACTGAACCTTTGATTTAATTGCAATAGTTTTAAATTGAAATAGCTACGTGGAGCTAGTGGCTGTTACGTCTTTGGACAGTGCAGCCTTGAAGAAGAAAAAAGATGTTTACATTAATGCTCTTCTCTATATGTAATTGAATGAGAAATAAGTCAAAAAAGGAAGTAAAGCTGTCTTTCAAAACAAATGATTGCTTTGCCAAAATTCAACAAATTTTAGTACCAGCTGAAGTGAAAATTCTTTCTGAACTAGGTTTTAGAATCAGGCTTTCTGAAAGCTGTTGTCGAACACTTGATTGATATAATCAGATGTTACATTTAAAGGGCCTTGGTGACACTGTAGGAGAAGCACTGTTCTGCTAACTGCAAGGTTGGTGGTTCAAATCCACCAGCCGCAGGAGAAAGATTTGTAGCCAACTCAGCTGTCAGTCCAAGTGGACTTGATGGCAGTAGGAGTGGGAAGGTGTTGCGTTTAACATAAGCCTTTCTCCCCTCTTATGTGTCTACCCTTTGAAGATGTAAGTGAATGTCTGCTCACTTCTGTTTCTTGTTCTCTTGATGTTTCAGTTGGAAAGACTTCAAATCATGCTATAGTTCTTGCCCAGCTCATCACTAAGGGAACGTGCTATGGATTACATGCATTCATTGTTCCTATCCGTGAGCTTGGGACCCACAATCCTTTGCCAGGTAAGAGTCCTTCATCCATTCGTGGGATGAAAAGTTCATCTGATCACCTTTTGTCTGCAAAAAGCGTAACCCACAGCTAAAGAGAGGAGGGAAGCAGGAATCCCAGAACCTAATTATCTTGTGAATTTCCTCTGTGGTAGGGATCACTGTTGGAGACATTGGTCCCAAATTTGGTTATGATGAGATGGATAATGGCTATCTGAAGATGGACAACTACCGTATTCCCAGAGAAAACATGCTGATGAAGTATGCCCAGGTAAATGCCCACAGAAGATAGGAGCAGATACATCAAGTGTGGGGAATTGCATGGTTGACATCCCCACAGGGTTAGCAGGCCTGTTCTTTGAGGAGGTCATAGCATTGTTTACCTGCACTGCCATGAGAGATAGTCCACAGGTGTGCAGAGCGGTTCCTCTCAAGCTTTAGCTTCATCTTCATTACCCCTTCATTACAACACAGACCGTGGGTCCCACTGCAGAGGTGCTGTGCATTAGGTCAGGATGGGGACTGAGCTTTTGTTCTCATAGATGTTCCCATGTGGTGCCGACGCTGTTGTTTTGAAGGCCCCACTTGGAGAACCATTGGCCGCAGCAGCCTTCCCGTGTAATTCTTGCAGGTGAAGCCCGACGGCACATACATGAAGCCCGTGAGTAACAAGCTGACCTACGGGACCATGGTGTTTGTCAGGTCCTTCCTCGTAGGCGCGGCCGCACGGGCCCTGTCGAAGGCGTGCACCATTGCTATCCGGTACAGCGCCGTGCGACACCAGTCTGAGATCAAGCCGGGGTAAGCTGAGGAGCCCTGGAGACCTGGCTCAGTCCCCATTCAAATACCCGCTTCCCAGTTGTGGTTTACGGAAGACCCTTGCCTCTGCAGAATAAGCAGGGATGGCAGTGTGCGGGGCCTGCTACTTAATACCTAGATTTTCTTGTCTTCAGTGGGCAGATGAGAACTAACTTCTTCTTTTTAACCTAAGAAAAATAGTAGTGATTTCATTTGCGCTCCAAGACACTCAAGGCAGTTTGAAAGCTGTAATTAATGCCAAACAGCTGTAAATTGAATGTAGTGAAAATGGCATTAAATTGTATTCCCTTTCGTGTTTATGGCCTGTCACTGGGGTAAGCTTTTTATTCTCCAGGAGGGAAGAAGGAAGTTGAAAGTTGATGGGGGCAATATTTAACTCTCTGAATTGAGTCTTCTCCAGAGTTGTGGCCTAAATACAGTTGCTTCAGTCGTCCAGTGTGGGGGAGGTGGTAAGTGCCGTCAAGTCGGTTCCGACTTATAGTGACCCTCTAGGGGTTTCTAAAGAGCAGCTTGTGGGTTTGAACTACCAGCCCTCTGGTTCACAGTTCTGTGCTGCACCACACCCCGAGTTCTTCCGATGTGTTAGACTTCTTTAGTATGTCCTCCCGTGAAGTTAGCTGACCTCAGGATTTTAGAACTGGAATATTCTGTCCACTTAGAGCAATGCCACAAGGGGATTAAGAGTATGGTCTCTGGAGCCAAAGAGCCTAAATTTAAATCAGGATTCAGCTGTGTAACCACAGGCAGTTCTTACGCTGTCAGCTTCCCCGTCTCTAAAGTGGTGTGGCGCTGTGGCTAATGTGCTAGACTGCAGGGTCGGTTTGAATTGCAAGGTCAGAGGTTCAAGATCACCAGCCGCTCCTCAGAAACCCTATACAGGGTCACAGTGGATTGGAATTGACTCAAAAGCACTTAACAACAACAACCTCAAAGGTTCTTTATGAGGACTAAATATATAAAATGCTTAGAATAGAGTCTGGCATATATAGCAACGTCTATGTAAGTGCTTGCTTGTTAATTTGTTGATTATCATTTTCTACATGCTTTAGTGAGCCGGAACCTCAGATTTTGGATTTTCAGACCCAGCAGTATAAACTCTTCCCTCTCCTGGCCACAGCCTATGCCTTCCAGTTTGTAGGCGCATACATGAAGGAGACCTATCACAGGATCAATGAAGACATTGGCCAAGGGGACCTGAGCGAGCTGCCCGAGGTACGTGTTGGCCTCTTTTATCTCACGGATACCTCTTGATTTATTATTTGCCTGTTGAATAATGTCCAGAGAAAACCACAGGGCGAGATTTCCTGGAAGGAACCCACATGTTCTCCAGTGTCACAACGTTTACTGATTGAAAGTGGGTTGGGTTTTGATTTTTAGTTCAAAAATTATGTTGATCAAAGTCTGTTGGCCATTTGTCAGTCAAAGAACCAGAAGTGTTGCTGAGTTAAGTAGTTCAGAAGGGATGGTGGGAAAGCCACTAACTCAGACCAGTGAGAGGCCAGCTTGTTCAGTGTGGTGGGGTGGGCAGGTGGCTTCCAAGGTGACTAGTGCTGTTAGAGACTGGGCACACTGTTTTCTTATCGGAACCAGGACGGGCACCGGCACAGGTGTTCTGATGGCCATTGGCTTTTTTTCTTGCAGCTTCATGCCCTCACTGCCGGCCTGAAGGCTTTCACCTCCTGGACCACGAATGGTGCCATCGAGGCGTGCCGGATGGCTTGTGGAGGGCATGGCTATTCCCACTGCAGTGGGCTTCCCAACATCTATGTCAACTTCACCCCAACCTGTACCTTTGAGGGAGAGAATACAGTCATGATGCTCCAGACGGCCAGGTGAGAATCTAATGTATGTGGGGGACACTGTAGGATAAGCACTGAACTGCTAACTACAAAGTCAGTAGTTCAAATCCACCAGTTGTTCTTTCGAAACCATATACAGGTTTGCTATGAGTCAGAACCATCTCAACAGCACTTAACAACAACAAGAAGGGTTAGTCCTGGTGTGAAGCTATAGGATAAGCCCTATAACCGCAAGCTACCACCTAAGGTTGGCGGGCAGTTCAAACCCATCAAAGTTGGAACCTACTCAGTGGCACTTCACAACAAGAACTTTGACTCTTTCCCGCTGCCCCACTGCCCCACTGCCCTGTGTTCTCTTCGTACTCTCTTTATTCCTGAAAGACCTGGTTTTGCCTTTCATCCTGACCCACTGCTTTGATCTCCTGATTAGAGAGTGAGAAACAACACTATGGGCTTTCCAAGGCTGTCAGTCTTTATGGAAGCAGACGGCCTCATTTTTCTCCTGTGGAGAGACTGGTGGGTTTGAACCACCGACCTTTCCATTACCAGCCTAATACTTAATCCACTACACCACCAGGACTCCATTGACATTCCTGTCACATAGCGTAAAGTCATTTGAAGCATTTGTTTCACAAGCAGCACGGTTACTAACAAGCGCGTGTGTTGGTGACGTTTAGGTTCCTGATGAAAAGCTATGACCAGGTGCACTCAGGAAAGTTGGTGTGTGGCATGGTGTCCTACTTGAATGACCTGCCCAGTCAGCACATCCAGCCACAACAGGTGGCTGTCTGGCCCTCCAGGGTGGATATCAACAGTCCGGATGGCCTGACCGAAGCATATAAACTCCGTGCTGCCAGGTGAGTGTACCATCCAGGGCAAGAGGGAGCAGCCAGGGGGCCTGCTGGGAGAGGGCGGTGTGAGCACCAGTGCGGAGCTCCAGGTGTCTATCTTTTCTTAACAGATTAGTAGAAGTTGCAGCCAAAAACCTTCAAGCTGAAGTAATCCACAGAAAAAGCAAGGAGATAGCCTGGAACCTCACTTCTGTTGACCTTGTGCGAGCAAGTGAGGTCAGTGGTCACTTTCTGTCTCCAGTGCAGAAGCTCACGTCTCTCCCACTTGAAGAGACCCTCACAAAGAACCTTACACGTTTTCTTCCGTTTAGGCACATTGCCACTATGTGGTAGTTAAGCTCTTTTCTGAAAAACTCCACAAAATTCACGATGAATCAGTCCAAGCTGTCTTAAGGAGTTTATGCCTCTTGTATTCTCTGTATGGAATCAGTCAGAAGGCTGGGGACTTTCTTCAGGTCAGTAATTTCTAAGTGTTAGCCCTAATTTGTTTTCCTTTCTTTTTTTGGTAGAAAGTGAATTGTGGTCTAGTTTATAGTTGTCTGCAGTTTTATATGTATGTGATTTTATATGCACATGTATGTGTGGTTTTGGTTTCTTACAGGGGAGCATCTTGACGGAGTCTCAGATTACCCAAGTAAACCAGCGGATAAAGGAGTTGCTGACAGTCATCCGCCCTGACGCTGTTGCCCTGGTTGACGCATTTGATTTTCAGGATATGACTCTCGGCTCTGTGCTTGGCCGCTATGATGGGAATGTCTATGAAAACTTGTTTGAGTGGGCCAAGAAATCCCCACTGAACAAAACAGAGGTAAAAAGCAAGGTCTTGTCCATGAATTAAACTCTTGAGCCATAGAGACCAAATTGTTAACAGTGGGTTCTCCAGGTGGAATTACAGTGTAGGAGGGGACTTCAAAAGGTTCATGGAAAAATTCTACCCCTTTTAATTCTATTTTCCAAGAACTTTTGAAGCCTTCTCTTTATTCATGTGTTTGTGGGGGAGTAGAGTGGGGAGGTAGTGTTTACATGCCTCTCTGTGGTTACCTAATTTTCTGCTACATTGAGTGACTAGAAATACTATTGTGTCAGGAAGTACAAATATGAGTCAAATTAGTAAATATGAAATGAGTAATTCAAACTGAAATAAATTTTTAAATTAAAAGTCTTCCCTTAAATGGTAAGGCAGGTAAGTCCTCTGCGGAAGCTTTAGAGTAGTTGTAAGTCTCTGGAGTCCTGGTGTGGGCGCTGTAGAATCAACACTAGACCGCAGGGTCTGTGGTTCAAACTTATTAGCACTGGACTATGAACCACAAGGTCAGTAGTTCAAACCTACCAGCTGCTCCTTGGAAACCCTATACAGAATGACTATGAGTTGGGACTGACTCTATGGCATTTAACAACAACAACAAAATACAAAACCGATTCCGCAGCACTTAACGACAACATTAGCCTCTTGATTTGAGCAACAAGTTCAGACAAGGGTTTGGGTGGTCCACATTAAGCTGGTTTTCTCTTGAACATTTAATAACTAATTAAACATTTTCAAACACTTACAAAAACACAATATAATACTAGAATGCCCTTCAGTGAGCTTCAACAAGTATCAACTCATGGCCAGTGTGTTCCATGCCTTGGAATCAGGATCCAAATTAAGATCTAGATCATTTCTTGATGGAAAGCATGCTATTTAACATTGCAAGCTCTAGTTACCAGTCATTTCTTCTCCCCCCACTGCACTGCAGGTCCATGAATCTTACCACAAGCACCTGAAGTCTTTGCAGTCCAAGCTGTGAGTCTGAGTCTGGGTCGTCATGATGATTGGAGGCAGTCTACATACTTGACTCACCGATCTGTGTGGGATCATCATCAAATTCAAACAGCTGTAGAGAAAATGATAAACTGACCCCTTTTCTCTTTTATTGAATGAAAGAAAAAAAAAACCAGATTAACAAATTATAGAGATCTGATGAAAAATGGATGTGTTTTAAGTGCAATTAACACTGAAAGAGACCCATTAAGCCTTCAGACAAAGCTTTAAGAAATGTGGCATGGCCTCCCTTTGTAGCGCTGCTGATCTTGGTGGATAATTAACAAAATGTAACTACTAAGTAGTTAATTTTTTTTTTCAGGTTTTAATTGCAGTCACTGGACATAGAAGTGTTTTTAAGCAAAGGTATTTTTAATGGGATGGAATCTTCCAGACTTCCCTGGGAATGTCTTGCCGTTTATACCAGGGGCCAAGCATAGAAGCAGGACCAAGGAAAACAGGACTAGGGAACCTTGAGGTTTCTGTATTTGTGCTTGACAAGTGTCCTGCTGGCCAATGTATTGCTCCCACCTGACTATTCCTAGTAGCATTTTTCCCACAAAAGAATTTCTGCCCAGGTCTACTGCAGGACCATTGTCTCTTACCATTTGGAATTGATTTTCCATTGGCGGGATCCCTAATTGTCACAACTTATTTTGTGACTTACATTTGATTTTGGTAACTAATGTTGGGAACCTCAGTGGTATTGATCGCTCTCTCTCATTCACCCTTTTCTTCTCTTGAAAAGAGTTGCTAAAAAAGGGTGGGGTTGGAATCACAGTTCTTTCTTAATAGACTCAGTGTCTGAGGAGCCCTAGGCTAAGCCACTGCTCTAACTTTGGCAACCTTAATTAGTTGTATTTTCTGGGACGATTCAGGTTCCCAGTATGCTGTGAGCTCAGCAAAAGTCCTTAAAATAATACTTGACGATTACAGTTACCGGGAATTAAAAAATAAAATCATCTCACCTCTTACCCAGAAATAACGCAACCATCCTTCCCAAACCACCTTTTCTGAAAAGCCGCACAAGGATTGGTGGAAGTTCCATAAAGCTGTTTGTTTGCCATTGTTTTCAGTGTTTTTGGAGAAGCTTTATCTGAATGGCTCCAGTGTCCTTTCAGTTGAAATCTAATTGACACAATCATTCTGTGTTTAAAGGTTAAACATATACCTCTTAATTAATTTTTTTCCTTAAAATCATTGTAAAGAAACCAAGTCATTTGATATTTTTTTCTGCAACATCTGCCTCAGACCCGGTTGTTCTAGAATCACTGTAAATAGTACTGTCTAATTCAGTAGTAATGTAATTTCCTGAGTATCAGGTCCGTTATCCTGGGACCTGACATGAAATCTGGTGATAGGAAACTTTGTTACATACAGCAGCACTACTGCTTGTTGGCACAAGCCTGTATCTTTCCATCAGGAGAACTAATTGATAATTATGTTATTTTGAAGTCGAAGGCACTTTGCCTTAATCTCATTTGAGCATCACTTGACATTCACATTCTGGGAAATAACGGAAAGTACGTTTTAATTTTTTTACTGTTGGTCTGTAAAATGTAGAATTGCTTAAAAATTAGTGGTTCAATACCTTGTATACAGGTGAGTATCTCTGGGCAAGATCTGAAGGTGTTTGAAATGACCACCTTATCGAGCGCTGTACATCTAAGATCTCAGCAGATTTGAAGATGTTGATGGAGCCATCTTCAATCCAACACCTTGAGTTTTCTTTAAAAACTACTGATATTTGACTCCGTTTTTGTTGAGATTGGAATGCTTGTATTGAACTTTATGTGGTGTAATTAATAATAAAGCTATAATAAAATCTCACTGATTTGTATTACTAAGAGAAAAAATGTGTGTCATATAATGTAGACTTACATTGTAAAGAGTTTTAAAACGGAGACGCATTGGGTCTAGGTAACAGTAGACAGCTGTGAAGCTGCAGAGCTGAGGGAGAGTCACTGTGAACAGGGCTCATTGTGGTCGCTCCTGCTAGATGAAGCAACAGGCCTGGTTCCCACAGACAAGCCAGCCTTTGCAGCAGTTAAGTTTGGTGTGCTTGAGCTCGTTTGGAAACCATCTTCACAAAAAATGCATAGGGAAATTCCAACCTGGTCTCCTTGAAAATGATCATAGATGCTGGGTAGAATTAATGACATATTTCTGCATGGTGGTGGTTGTTATGTGCCGTGGAGTCGGTTCCGACTCATAGCGACCCTGCACAGGGTTTCCGAGGCTGTAAATCTTTACAGGAGCAGAAAGCCTCATCTTTCTCCCGCGGAACAGCTGGTAGTTTCAAACTGCTGACCTTGCGGTTCACAGCCCGATTCGTAACCACTATGCTACCAGAGCTCCTTGCATTAGCTTTTGTTAGATAATATTGGTGTATGCCTTTTTAAAGAGTACGCTGAGCAATATGACAAAAATTGAACATTAGACTTTGCTCTTTGTAATGGATGAAGGTCGCCATGTTTGGACATACATACTGAGGAATCCTGGTGTGGCGCTGTGGGTTAATGCACCAGACTGCAAAGCCATTTGAACTGCAAGGTTGGCGGTTCAAGTTCACAGGTTGCTCCTCAGAAACCCTATACAGGGTTGCTATGGGTCGGAACTGACTCGGTGCTTAACAGCAACAGATGCATACTAATGGAGTCCTGGTGTCCTGCTGTAGGATAAGCATGGAACAGCAAGATCAGTGTGAACCATAAGGTCAGGAGTTCAAACCCAACAGCCATTCTTCAGAAACCCTATACAGAGTCGCATCTGATTCAATTGCACATAACCAATACATACATACTGAGTGGGTTTCAGTGTTGGAACTCTGGTGACTTGAAAGAACCATTGGTCTAAAACCCTCTGGGGACCTTGATGTTCTGTCTTCAGAACACAGCCCTGCTAAGTATCAGCTATCTTCAGAACATGACCTTAATTTGTAACATTTTTATGTTAAAACACTTTTAAGTTAGGACTGCCTGTGACTTCAGATTTAATATTTCTAGTAGTTTCTGGTGTGACCTGCATGATAAGCACTGGACTGCAAGGTCGGTTTGGACTACAAGGTTGGTTCAAACTCACTAAACACTCCTCAGAAACCCTATACTGGGTCGCTATGAGTCAGAACTGACTCAAGAGCACTCAACAACCGCCAAGTTAACATGCTAGATCTTACCTCTTAATGCTTTCCCCAATTGCAAAGCTTTGGCTGGAGAAATTCATGATTCTGGGGATCCATAAATTCTACAGACAACTGCTCTCCTCAGATTACCTCTGCACCCCTTTTCTGAGGTCTTTCCATCTACCTTATTAGGGAGAAAGTGAATTAAATGCATAGTCTTAACACCTGCTGATGTTTCGATATGTGTGGAAGGTAGACACGGGGACATAGGTTGTCTTTATGCTGATGAGAAGCAGTGCCAGGAAACTAAACGGACATTCTTAGGAGATTCTCCTGACTCAAAAGATTTTGATCATTTTTTGGAATAATGCAGGGAGATTATCTCGGTTAAGAGGATTAGACCAAAATCACACTGACTATTTGAAATTATTTTTTGCTTTAGAATATTGTGGTGGGTTTTACTTTTATCTTCCCAAACTTGCTAGACATTTCAGTTTCTATTCCTATGGCTCCTGATAGTAAAGATGGAACTGGGTAAGGAACTATTAGGATTACCAGGCATGAGCTGTTGCAAATCAGCAAGTTTCTAGATTCCAAGGGTTCTTGGGTTTTGTGGTGGTTTTGTCTTTAAATTTAAGTGATCCATTGTTTTGGGAAGATCGGAGGAAAGTTGATTTTTTTTTTTAAAGAATCCTGAAGCGAAATAAACTGCTACAATATCATTAACTTTCATAACAGCTTTGGGTAGCAAATAGGTGATCTTCCATGTAATATTCAGATGTTGTTGTTGTTATGTGCCATCGAGTCGTTTCCAACTCATAGCGACCCTGTATAGGGTTTCCAAGGGTGTAAATCTTTACGAGAGTAGAAAACCTCATCTTTCTCCCGCGGTGCAGCTGGTAGTTTCGAACCGCTGACCTTAAGGTTCGCAGCCCGATTCGTAACCACTACGCTACCAGAGCTCCTTATGGCAGACTATTATTTTGTAAAACCAAAACCATGCCATCCACTCACAGTGACCCGTTATAGGGTTTCCCAGATAGTAAATTTTTACATGGAAGCAGACAGCTTCATCTCTACCACAATACTTTGTGAACACTGCTTTATTTCCAACTGCTGTGGTTTCCATTAAATGACTTGTATCCTTAAGGAGCTCTGGTAGCGTAGTGGTTACGAATCGGGCTGCGAACCTTAAGGTCAGCGGTTCGAAACTACCAGCCGCTCCGCGGGAGAAAGATGAGGCTTTCTACTCCCGTAAAGATTTACACCCTCGGAAACCCTGTACAGGGTCGCTATGGGTCGGACCCGACTCGATGGCACTTAACAACAACAACAACAATCCTTTGGAGACAATAATTGCTCTTTTTTCCCTTCTCTGTTGGGGTTTGAGTGGATTCTACTTGAACATGCTGCATTTAGCATGTATTTTTACTCAACCCTGGCTTGATATGACCTGCTGGGGTGGGCGTTCTGAGGAGGTCCCTGGGCCAAAGCATCTGAATGTGATGACCCTGACCCCTTTGTGAAACGGAATAGCCCTTAAATAAAAGCTATATTTAGTATACACAAGAAGTGTTCGTGTCTTTTTGTTGGATGTTGGGTTTCATTCTGGCTTAGCAGCTTTAACTGAACGGGAAGGTCACAGCTGCAGCCTTCATGCTTTAGTATGTGGGATAAATAAGGGTTTACCCGTGAACATTTACATCTTAACACATTTTTCACCTTTGCGCTCCCCTGCCCATCCGAATCAGCCCTCGAAAGAGGACCGGAAGAACTTTAAAGTGTTCAGTCTTTGAGCCCAGTCCCGGGCAGTTTCCAGAAGAGAGAATGAGGGAGAACTCCTAAAGACTGCGAGCCCGGCGGCC